AGTGACTTTTTTTAATGAGCCAAAAAATTACTGATCGAACAGCCAATTGGGGTTACTCCAACGGGGAATTTGACCATTAGAATTCCACACCCACGTGAACGTAGCTCAAACAACTATTCATAAATCCCCCGGTTTTTCCCACCCCCTTTGGTTTTGGATCATTCGGTGAAACAAGCCAGAATAAAAAACTTTGGCCACGTAGGGAACTGACATTTCCGGGGATTTTTAAGAAATGTAGTGTCGTTGCAACAAAAAAGGAAATGCCCCGGGGGTTCCTAACCAATCCAAGTGTCCCCAAACCCAATATTTCCCCTTTGACTTTTTAACCCCAATTTTAAATTTTTCTCTCCAAGGAAACAAACATCGTGTTTTTGGGGAAGCCCAAATTTCCCAATTTGGGATTTAGTTCCAATTCCCAGATAAGCCCGAAAGGGGCCCATACCCAAAGTTTTAAAAAACACATTACCTGCAGGCCCCACCCCCCTAAAGGGTCCTTAGTAACAGATAATGGGGGTAATTTCCCTTAATAAATTTTCCTTAAAAATTTTTGGTACTTTAAACAAGATATCTAAATCCACCATTGTTCCTAAATCATCCTGCCAGCAAGGGTTTAGCCGAACAAACCCAAAAAAGAAAGACTTAAAGTCCTGAAAAGCCACTTTCAACCTCAATAGTAAAATTGGGATAAAAGTCAACCAATGTTCAATGTGCCATAAATTCGCTTACAATGCTTCCGGAATTTTGAAAACTCCACTTTATGCTTTTTGGTGGTTAGAAAAACGTTCCCCTATGAGTTGTTATTTTCCACTCCAAAACCCTTTAATTTAAAAAACCCCTGATGTTTTTGGGTAGAAAACCGTACCAGCATGGCTCAGAGGTTTTTAAAAAGAACCGTGAAACCCCCTTTTTCATAAATCAACAGCAGAATTTACTAGATAACTAATAGCCATGCTAACCCAATCAAAAGCCCAAAGTGGGTTTTCGAGGTAATGCGGAAAAAATTTCAACAAAAAAACCCAATGCCAAAGCCGAAAAAAAATTTTTGTGGGACCTTTCGATTTTGAAATTTAAGTATAAGGTTAGAGAAATTAGTACGGTAAGTACAAAAAAATTCCCCATTTAGTCAAATAAAAATTAGAAATTTGTTGATGAAAAATGCCCCCCAACTAACCGGGAGTTTTTTTTTAATGTGCCCAAAATGCTGAAAATCCCTTGCCCTCTCTACCCCTACCTCAAAAACCTCAGTCAGAAAATCAACCGAATGTCGTTATTTCCTTGCAAAACTCGACAAGTAATAAAACCCAAAGTATTTTTTTTTAGACTCGTTCAAATTTCCCTAAACCCCAAGGCATGGGGTTAGCCTTTGCAGAGGAATCGATCCTCCCAGAGATGATAACCATTCTGCAAAAGAAAACCCTCACCCTCACAAAATTTGGGTTTTAAAAATGTACATAGTCGGGATAACTAGATGTAAAGAATGAAGTAAATTTCAACTGTTTGTTAATTTAAAGATTAAAATTTTTTTAGAAAAAATTTTTTTTCTATTTTACGACCCCTGTAATTTTTGAGAATTTGACATAATGATTGAGTGGGACACCAATGCCTTTGCTGTTTTAAATTTCCCCCTTTTATATATTTTATTTTTCCCAAATCCATAAGTGCATGAATTCAGATCGACGATCAATTCCATCCATATTTTACAATGATTTGTTCTTAAAAGTTTGTAAAAGCATTCCCTTTAAAAAAGGGTTACGTTAAAACCCTTTTCGTAAAACTCTTTGTTTTAACATCCATTATGAATTTCCCCCAGTAATTCAAGTTTTTATATGAATTTGTTTTTTGTAAAGGGAAACACCCAAACCCCCTGCCTTTTTCAGCCTATAGATAGAGTTTTATGTCGAGACCCAATATGTAACAAGAACCCGGCCCGCAGCATAGTTGCTGATTCCCTGTGTTGAAAGCAACAGTAACACCATGTCTTTTTTGATAAAGGGGATCCCTAGGCCTTGACTGTTTTTTGTGACGGGCACGGGATGCCATGTTACGCCCTAAACCCCTTCCACCTGCTCAAGGGCGGGGGTTAGACAAGGGTAGGGCAGGCGGGGCTGGGCTTTCCCTCTCCCTCCCTCCATTTTGACAATATACGTTACCATCCAAAAAGTGGGACTACCTTTAAACCCCGATAAACTCCATTTAAGAAAAACCCCCACGATCTGGGGGACAAGATTGAGGACCCCCCGGGAAAAAAAGTTTAAAAACAGTCCCCGATTTCCAAATGACTTTCCTTTGGGGGATCCTGGGGGGTAAAACCCCCGGGGTTAAAAACCTGCGAAATCTTATCTTATCTTTTTTTCCCTTTTTGTGTAAAGCAACTACACTGTACATTTTTCCTTTTAAAATAAAGTGGTTTGGGGCGCCAATTTGGGTTGGGTTGGGAGGAGCCCCCAGAAAAAAAACCCCGCTGTCAAAAACTAAACAACACTTTCAGCTTATTTATCTATCAAAAATTGATCTAATAGACATAATAAACAAAAATAAATAACATAAAAACATGGTAAATACTCATTTTGAATACTATTTTGGGATAATACCCAGGGTCAAAAAAAAGGTATGAAATTTCCCCCATAGAATATGGGAAAAAGAAACCCCCTCCCCCCCCCTGTTCCTGGGGTTTATATTAGAGAAAACGTAAAAGTACAGGGCAACTAGATATCCAAAATTTTTGTTTATTATCTCGGAAATAAGAAGATAAATAAATTTTTTTTTCGGGTTTTTAAAAACCCCCGGGGGGGTTTTGCCACCCAGGATAACCCAAGAAATCAGTTGGGGTCCCTCGAGGGCCCGTCCCAAAATTTTTTCCAATTTTGGGGCCCCTTTAAACTTGTCCCCCCCGGATGCCCACCCAAAACCCTCACTAACCCCAGGAAAACCCATTTCTTTTCTAGGTTTAACAGGACAAAATGTAAGGAAACGTGTCGGAATTTCCCCACCCGCCCGGGGGTCGAAACCCCGGGGCCCCCTTGAAAAACGGTGAGGGGGTTTCCCGATCTTGGGGAAATTTGGGTCTGGCTCCAGTTCCCTGAAATTTAAACCTGAAACCTTTCTTTCCCTTCCCCCCCCAGGCACTGTAAAATTTCCCAAAGGGGGTTTTTGGCGCTTCCCCCATTATAATAATAATAATAATAATAATAATAATAAAAATAATAATAATAAAAAATAATAATAATAATAATATTTAAAAATAGCGGCAAAATGATGATAGAATTCAATGGGAAATTTTTCCCGACAACAAAAAAAAAACCCCAATGGAAAAAAGTTACTTTTTACTTTTTTTTTTTTATTATCCTAGGTTTTTTCCCACGTAACCGTTTTGTTTTTTTTTGGGTTGTTCCCTTTTTGAAAAATGGGTAATGTAAAGATGTAAAGATGGCTTAATTTTACCCAAAAAAAAAAGAAAACAACAATAATTAACCGGGGTTCACTTTTTCTAGCCTTAGCCGCCCCTTAAACGGTAAAATTTTCGTATGGTTTTTTTTTGCTTGTATTCTCCCTTTTTTTTTCTAAATTTTACAGAATAGAACAGATTTTTAAAAAAAATAATATGATTTTGATTGGTTTTACAACTAAAAGTACCTTGAAATTTTAGCTCAAGGTAATGGAAATGGGAAAAATATATGTTGGCTGGCCAGACAAATACGCAGTCCCCGAGTGGTTTTACATTACTTACCCCTTATTCAGTAGTCCGGGAAAAACACAAAACTATTTTTTGTGTGAAAAAAAAATTCAAAAATGGAAAGTAAAATTAAAAATAAGAGGGGTCTGGGGACGTTAAATAATTTAAACAGAGAAAATGTTATCTTAGTGCCAGGAAAAGTCTGCATTTCTTTCTCTGGATCCCCATTTTGAAATTTTGGGATCTTTTGAAATTTTGGGGGAAATTGGCCAAATTTTTTCCCAAATTTTTGACCCCCTTTTTTTTGGGGAGGGAAATAGGTTAATGGGCAGTTTCCTTTTTAAAACTCAAGGCGACAGAATAGAAGTAAGTTTTTTTCAGGGATACACAAATACAGTTTAAAACAGTTTTAAACATACTTTGCAAATAGTTCCAAAAATCTGGGATAAACCCAAAAAAAAGTCAAAGGACTTAAATTTTTCCCTGGGGGCCTTAAAGACCATTTGTAAAATCGAAGGGTTTTAAAACATACTAAACCACTAGCCTTTTTTTATAACAAAACCCGAAACAAGAAAATCTTTCAAGACCCTTTGCAAAAATCTTTCTTACAAGATTTGCACCCGAGGGGAAGGTTCAGTGCCCAAAACTTGTAAAAAAATTCTTTATTTACTACAAGTACATTACAAGGGGATCCCGTCCAACTGATAAAAAGACATACTATAAGAAAAACCCCTTTTTATGCTCCCCTATTTTTGGGGAAATTTGTCAGTGTCCCAGGATGCAACCCACACCACGACTAAAAAGCCCAGGTACCCATTTTACTGATGGGGAACATAGACAATAGGTGGAAAGAAACACGTCCAATGTTTCTACTCTGGCTGGGAATCGAACCCAGGCCCTCGCCGTGTGAAGCGAGAGCGTTAACCACCAGGCCACCAGAGCCTGGTGGATTTCAACAGCACTACAGAAGGAATACTAGCAAAATAGCTGAGTTTGGTAGTCTGGAACAATAGAATGAGCCAGAAATGGGGCATAAACTGGGTGAAATCGCCAATGCGTAAATATCACCGTTGGGTTAAGTGTATTCTAACCTAACGACTCTGTGATCCGGCAAAGTCACTAATCCGGCATCCTACAGGTCCCGATGATGCCGGATGAGTGATGGCAGACCTGTACCAGATAGTCAATAACCTAATGTGTGATAAAAGCAATCTCGTAGATCTGGACAGAAAGGTTAGGTAAGGTTTGTCAGGAAACAGGACAAGTGTTTCCTAATGTAGGTCTTTCATATGATGACCTGCAGCTGGAGCTTTTGGTTATCTGACCGAGGCCTTCCACTGGCTTACCTCTCCACCTCTTTAAAAATTAGGCTTATGATTATAACCATTAGCATCTTTTTTTCTTGTATGAAGGTAAAGCGTGTTAGACCTACCCTCAGCAGGAGTACTTCAGCAGCATTGTCAATGTGCTGTTGTAGGTGCTTGGTTCTCTCCTCCAGCTCTTGGGCTGCCTCCATCTCCTTTTGTGTACTAGCCAGTTTTGACAGATGTAACAGGTGTTTCCTTACCTCGTTACACACGTGTTCCACGTTCCTCACTACCACACACACCTGACAACACAATACTAAATTGGCTTCATACACTAACAGACTGGTGGATCTGAGAGGTGTAATAAATTAGGTCGGGAATGTTAATTTTTTTCATGTTAAAGCGAAAACAAACTGTATTTATTGAGGAAATCTAATTTGAAAACTTTAATTGTTGAGGCTGATAAAGTTGAAAACTTTAATTGTTGAGCTGATAAACCTAAATGTTCAGGTCGAAAACCCTGAAAGTTATAATTACGTAAATTTAAAAAGTTAGAAGTTTTCAGGATAGTAAAACTGAGCTATAATTATAAATTCTGTTTAAACTACATCTGGCACCAAAATAAATGCATATTTATAAGGATAAAAATCATAAAAAAAATCCATAGACAAGCAATCACTTCTACAGACACGGGTAGGAAATTCATGGCCTGTTGCATCTGGCAGTCACTAAAGTCAACACAGAACTGCCTGACAATAAAGGGAAAGGCATACACAGAGAAAGTAGTTTTTCTTCATCCATATGTTTCTTTGCCATTATGTATAGTATTTACAAAGTTAAATCAGTAGTATAAAGATAAGACAGAGGGAAAAGAGCCAATCATCATCACAGGTAATGCAAGAGAGAGTAAGAGTGGTCTAGACCAGCTTAATTGAGTGCCCTGTAGCCGGATGGTCAGGCCGACTCTCACGCTATTGGTTGGTTGAACTGGATAATTAATTAGCAGTGGGGCCCCAGAACTGCTATATTCTGAATAGCTAGTTTGCTGGTCGAGAAGGTATGCCACTGGGTGTGATGAACGTTGAATAAATTGTATCATACTTGGCACTCCTGTAAACCCTTTTGGAGACTAATTCCTAGGCCTTTTGTATATCCATATGCATTTGTGTCCCCCCCACCATGTGATGGATATGGAGTACACAATAAACTAGCCGCTTGGGAGGCAAAATAAAAAAAAATCAACCACAATCACACAGGAAATTTTGAGAATGATTTCTTTTCCATGCAGCATGACTCGATGTGACGGGAATGTCTCACCTCTTTTAAAATCGTGTCTTTATCTCCTGCCTGGACGGTGTAGCTCTGAGTGATTCTGGTGATGTACTGAGCCGCCAGTTCCATGATGTGTTGACTGATCTTAATGAGAGTGCCGCCACTGGGACCCACATCACCTGGCCACTTCACCTCACACACATGGATCATCAGCTGTAACAATAGTTCTTCAGTCATTCATTGGATCTCTAGATGACCTGTTATGCTTTGAAGACGACATATATATATATATATATATAATATAATATATATATATATATATATATATATATATAATATATATATATATATATATATATATAATATATATATAGTCGTGCCGAATATGTAAAACTGGTCAATTAGCAAGAACTCATTTAAAATTAAGTCCTTTCTAAAATTTTCTCTTATACGTTTAAAGAATATTTTTTTCATTAATGTTGATGCAAAAATTTTTAATTTTGCACCAAAAGGAAATTAGAAAAACTTACCAAAACCTTATTATAACAAGAAAAATTTATTTTAGCCTAACCCAACTAAATATATTTTAGATTTGTTTACAATAATTTAATACTAAACGAACACAGTGAAATATATTTTTTTCGTTAGGTTCAGAATGATTTTGGCGAATTATTGCATACACAAATTTTCACTTGTCCTATATGGCAAGATGAGCGTTGCTATTTAAGCCAAGATTGCAAGTTCTGCCTATTCGGCACGACATATATAATATATATATATATATATATATATATATATATATATATATATATATATATATATATATATATATACAAGGAATTCGCAAGAGCAGGCGAAATTTACAAACACTGATCCCTGGCCGAAGGAGACTCGAACCTACGAACCTTGGAACAAGGTACGCAGTGCTATACTAATCTACCCACACTGGACAATACCTTGGCGTGCAGCTTACGCTACACGTTTGATCCAAGGCAGCCAGCTTTCAGGGAGAAGGCTTACAGCTTTTCATCTCATCTCCTGCATGCATCAGTCTTACTAGAGATATTAACAATGCAAGGAATTCGCAAGATTATTATTATAATCAAGGGGGAAGCGCTAAACCCGGAGGATTATACAGCACCTGGGGGGGGATGTGGAAGGCATTCAGGCTTTAATTCGGGGAACTGGAGCACAGATCCAATTCCCTAAATCAAGAACCCCTCACCAACATCAAGGAACCTTCCCTGAGGGGGGAATTCGCAAACCAAGCGATACAAGATGCAAAACAACCACGGGGGGAGTAGAATAACAGCTAGGATTTTCGTGTTGCAATCAACACATCATCAGGAGCTTGTAAAACTGCAGAAAACAGGAGGGGTTCTAGCAAATAATGTTCCCAGATGACCCCTTGAAATGCGTTTATTTTAACGAGCCCCGTTTCCTTTACATAACTTGTAGAAGTCCCCTATATAAAGGACCGTTTTCTCTCATAATTTAAAGGGACACGTGGACCTTGGAGTGCCTGGTCATTTCCCGTGCTCTCCTTTCTCCCTACACTATTCTCTCACTCCAGTAAAGGCGGTCCTCTGGCAATGTTATTTGCTAGAACCCATCCTCTTTCCTGCAATTTTACAAGCTCCTGATAATGTGTTGATTGCAACACAAAAGGCCTAGAGCTATTATTCTACTCCCCCCGTTGATATTTTGTATATATAGTATATATATGTATGTAATATATATATATATATATATATATAATATATATAATATATATATATATATATATATAAACATATTTTTTTTTCAACAAGTCGGCCGTCTCCCACCAAGGCAGGTGACCCAAAAAAAGAAAGAAAATACCCAAAAAGAAAATACTTTCATCATCATTCAACACTTTTCATCACACTCACACATTATCACTGTTTTTGCAGAGGTGCTCAGAAATACAACAGTTTAGAAGCATATACATATAAAGATACACAACATATCCCTCCCAAACTGCCAATATATATATATATATAATATATATATATATATATATATATATATATATATATATATATATATATATATATATATATATATATAATAATATATGTGTGTGTGTGTGTGTGTGTGTGTGTGTGTTTTGATCTGTATTGGTCTCTGATGATTCTTGCTTGAATCATCAAACTATACCTCTGCTTTCATATCTACAGCACCTTCAAGGAGCCGTTAAGGACGGTCATTATATTACTATGCTCTATGTCGGGTACATTTTCCCCCGATGAACAAACTACCAAGAATGATTCGAGGGCCTCACCGCCTTCAGCAGGTCAGCAACACCAACAGCAGACTGACTGTAGCCGGCCATGTCATCAACAGCTACGAATTCATCTTGCTGAATGTCTCTCTGGCACTCCTCCAGAGCCAAGTGTTTACTGAGGACCAGCCAGTGGAGGAGGATGGTCGAGAAGGCTTCCCGGTATTCTTGGGGAATCAGGTGTTGAGGAAGGCCACTCTCAATGCCAATCCTGTGGTGGGAAATACCCATCAGATCATTTCATGGATTACTACCTACAATAATTATGGAGTGAGGCTCCATTTTGTTTCATTGCATTAAGCATTACGTAATATATAAGTCACTGTGTCTGACTTTTTTGGGTTATCCTAGGTGATTTACATATATGCTATGTATCATCCCATGTGTTAGAAACTGGGTCTAAAACAGAAAAAAAAAACAGAAGGGAGATCTTTGTTAGATAATTGATCACACCAAGACTGGACACACACCAAGACTGGACACACACCAAGACTGGACACACACCAAGACTGGACACACACCAAGACTGGACTCACACCAAGACTGGACACACACCAAGACTGGACACACACCAAGACTGGACTCACACCAAGACTGGACACACACCAAGACTGGACACACACCCAAGACTGGAACACCCCACAAGACTGGACACACACCAAGACTGGCCCTCACACCAAGACTGGACACACACCAAGACTGGACTCACACCAAGACTGGACACACACCAAGACTGGACACACACCAAGACTGGACTCACACCAAGACTGGACACACACCATGACTGGACACCCCACCATGACTGGACACACACCAAGACTGGACACACACCAAGACTGGACACACACCAAGACTGGGCACACCCCCAAGACTGGGCACACACCAAGAACGGACTTCACACCAAGACCTGGACACACACCAAGCTGGACACACACCAAGACTGACACACACCAAAGACTGGACACACCCCAAAAGACTGGACACACACCAAGAACTGGACAACACCAAGACTGGACACACACCAAGACTGGACACACACCAAGACTGGACTCACACCAAGACTGGACACACACCAAACTGGACACACACCAAGACTGGGCACACACCAAGACTGGGCACACACCAAGACTGGACACACACCAAGACTGGACACACACCAAGACTGGACACACACCAAGATGGACACACACGAAGACTGGACACACACCAAGACTGGAAAACACACCAAGACTGGACACACACCAAGACTGAACACACACCAAGACTGGGCACACACCAAGACTGGACTCCACACCAAGACTGGACACACACCAAGACTGGACACACACCAAGACTGGACACACACCAAGACTGGACAAAACCCCAAGACTGGACTCACACCAAGACTGGACGCACCCCAAAGGGACTGGACACACACCAAGACTGGGCACACACCAAGACTGGACAAAACACCAAGACTGGACACACACCAAGACTGGACTCACACCAAGACTGGACACACACCAAGACTGGACACACACCAAGACTGGACACACCCCAAAGGGACTGGACACACACCAAGACTGGACTCACACCAAGATGGACGCACACCAAGACTGGACACACACCAAGACTGGGCACACACCAAGACGGACACACACCAAGACTGGACACACACCAAGATGGACACACACCCAAGACTGGACACACACCAAGACGGGAAACACACACCAAGACTGGACTCACATCAAGACTGGACTCACACCAAGACTGGACTCACCCCAAAGACTGGACACACACACCAAGACTGGACTCAAAACCAAGACTGGACACACACCAAGAATGGACACACACCAAGACTGGACACACAGCAAGACTGGACACACACCAAGACTGGACACACACCAAGACTGGACTCACACCAAGACTGGACTCACACCAAGACTGGACTCACACCAAGACTGGACTCACACCAAGACTGGACACACACCAAGACTGGACACACACCAAGACTTGGACTCACACCAAGACTGGGACTCACACCAAGACTGGACTCACACCAAGACTGGACACACACCAAGACTGGACTCACACCAAGGACTGGACATCACACCAAGACTGGACTCACAGAAAAGACTGGACACACACCAAGACTGGACACACACCATGACTGGACACAACCATACTGGACACACACCAAGACTGGACACACACCAAGAACTGACACACACACAAGACTGGGCAACACCAAAGACTGGGCACACACCAAGACTGACTCACACCAAGACTGGAACAACACCAAGACTGGACACACACCAAGACTGGACTACACACCAAGACTGGACACACACCAAGACTGGACACACACCAAGACTGGACACACACCAAGACTTGACACACACCAAGACTGTGACCCACACCATGACTGGACACACATCCAAGACTGGACACACACCAAGACTGGACACACACCAAGACTGGACACACACCAAGACTGGATTTTCACACCAAGACTGGACACACACCAAGACTGGACACACACCAAGACTGGCACACACCAAGACTGGGCACACACCAAGACTGGACACACACCAAGACTGGACACACACCAAGATGGACACACCCAAGACTGGACACACACCAAGACTGGACACACACCAAGACTGGACACACACCAAGACTGGACACACACCAAGACTGAACACACACCAAGACTGGGCACACACCAAGACTGGACTCACCACCAAGACGGACACACACCAAGACTGGACACACACCAAGACTGGACACACACCAAGACTGGACACACACCAAGACTGGACTCACACCAAGACTGGACGCACACCAAGACTGAACACACCAAGACTGGGCCACACCAATACTGGACACACACCAAGACTGGACACACAACCAAGGACTGGACACACACCAAGACTGGACACACACCAAAGACTGGACACACACCAAGACTGGACACACACCAAGACTGGACTCACATCAAGACTGGACTCACACCAAGACTGGACTCACACCAAGACTGGACACACACCAAGACTGGACTCACACCAAGACTGGACTCACACCAAGACTGGACTCACAGCAAGACTGGACACACACCAAGACTGGACACACACCATGACTGGACACACACCATGACTGGACACACACCAAGACTGGACACACACCAAGACTGGACACACACCAAGACTGGGCACACACCAAGACTGGGCACACACCAAGACTGGACTCACACCAAGACTGGACACACACCAAGACTGGACACACACCAAGACTGGACACACACCAAGACTGGACACACACCAAGACTGGACACACACCAAGACTGGACACACACCAAGACTGGACACACACCATGACTGGACACACACCAAGACTGGACACACACCAAGACTGGACACACACCAAGACTGGACACACACCAAGACTGGACTCACACCAAGACTGGACACACACCAAGACTGACACACACCAAGACTGGGCACACACCAAGACTGGCACACACCAAGACTGGACACACACCAAGACTGGACACACACCAAGACTGGACACACACCAAGACTGGACACACACCAAGACTGGACACACACCAAGACTGGACACACACCAAGACTGGACACACACCAAGACTGAACACACACCAAGACTGGGCACACACCAAGACTGGACTCACACCAAGACTGGACACACACCAAGACTGGACACACACCAAGACTGGACACACACCAAGACTGGACACACACCAAGACTGGACTCACACCAAGACTGGACGCACACCAAGACTGGACACACACCAAGACTGGGCACACACCAAGACTGGACACACACCATGACTGGACACACACCAAGACTGGACACACACCAAGACTGGACACACACCAAGACTGGACACACACCAAGACTGGACACACACCAAGACTGGACTCACATCAAGACTGGACTCACACCAAGACTGGACTCACACCAAGACTGGACACACACACCAAGACTGGACTCACACCAAGACTGGACACACACCAAGACTGGACACACACCAAGACTGGACACACACCAAGACTGGACACACACCAAGACTGGACACACACCAAGACTGGACTCACACCAAGACTGGACTCACACCAAGACTGGACTCACACCAAGACTGGACTCACACCAAGACTGGACTCACACCAAGACTGGACACACACCAAGACTGGACTCACACCAAGACTGGACTCACACCAAGACTGGACTCACACAAGACTGGACACACACCAAGACTGGACTCACACCAAGACTGGACTCACACCAAGACTGGACTCACAGCAAGACTGGAACACACACCAAGACTGCACACACCAAGACTGGACACACACCAAGACTGGACACACACCAAGACTGGACACACACCAAGACTGGACACACACCAAGACTGGACACACACCAAGACTGGACTCACACCAAGACTGGACTCACAGCAATGGATCCAAGTTAGACAAATTAAGATTTAGAAAGGATATATAAAAACATTGGTAAGGTAGTAGAGTTTTGAATAAGTGGAACAAACATTTTTAAGACTTTTTAAGTAGCTTTCAGAATAGGATGGTGAGGTATATGAGTGGGTGTGGGTGTGTGAATTGAACCTAGATAGGATGACCAGTAGGCCTACAGTATTCCTTCACTGTTCTTATGTTCTCATGAAGTACTTTCATTATTCATCACACTGAAGCTTGCTGAAGATGGTCTCACTGGGTGAAATATATAATATTCACTTCAATTATTGTTTTACTGTTGTTTATGTTGTTAGAGTTAAATATTAAGCGCATCCTACTTATTAATTTGGCTGAGGTTGGTACAGAGGACCCAGGCTGCCTGGGCAGCTGAGGGCATGACTTCTGAAGGTACTTGAGCAAGGGCATCCACATCAACGCTTGTGACTGGGTTAAGCAGATGGAGGGCAGCTGTCAGCATCTTGGGCATCACAAGATACAGGTAGTCCACAGCCAGCTCTCTGAAAGCCCAGGAAATAAACACCACACTATTAGTCTTTTTATATTTAAAAATTAGTTATCCTTTGAAAATAATTATCTAAATATGTTGTCTTTTCTTTTTCTTCCAGAAATAACTTGAGAAAACCTCTTCTGTTCGGCTTCAAACTTTCAGTGTTGGTCTATCTTAACTAGAGAGTCCGATTGTTATTAGGCTGTGTAGGTTACAGTTTAATGCATGCAAATAGTACAGTTGTTCTCGTACGATCAATAATACCAACAATACCACCAGTCTGATGACATTCTTCTTTGCAAATATACAGGGTCTAAAGCCAGCAACAAACAACAAAATACCTTTCATCCGTGGACTGCTTGCAGAGGCAAAGGCAATGTTCGCGGCTTTCACTGAGACCCACATAAAGGATCACTTGGACAATGAAATATGGATCCCAGGTTACAACCTATACAGATGTGACAGAGTGAACAGGCAAAAGGGGGGGGGGTTTGGCCTGTACATTGCAGAGTCACTTGTTTGCACAGAACTGCTTAATGCCTCAAATGATGTAGTGGAAGTTTTAGCAGTAAAGGTCGAGAACCAAAACCTAGTCATTGTGGTAGTCTACAAGCCTCCGGATGCAACATCCCAGCAATTCCAGGAACAGCTGTTAAAAATTGACCACTGTCTGGAAAATCTTCCAGCTCCTGCACCCAACATCTTGCTCCTGGGGGATTTCAACTTAAGGCACCTAAAATGGAGGAATATAGCAAATAATATTGTTGCAGTAATAACACCAGGAGCAGCTCTGATGAAAACTCACACTCACACGAGCTTTTAAATCTCTGCACAAAATTCAATTTAAACCAGCAAATAATAGAGCCTACTAGACTGGAGAATACACTAGACCTCATCTTCACTAACAATGATGATCTGATAAGAAATGTCACCATATCAAAAACAATATACTCAGATCACAACATAATTGAGGTTCAGACATGTATGCGCAGAGCCCCAGACCGACATAATGAGACTAGTCACGAGGGAGCATTCACCAAATTCAACTTCAATAACAAAAACATAAAGTGGGACCAAGTAAACCAAGTCCTAACCGATATAAGCTGGGAAGATATACTAAGCAACACAGGCCCCAACTTATGCCTAGAACAGATTAATTTGGTGGCACTCGATGTATGCACAAGGCTTATTCCTCTAAGAAAAAGGAGGAGTAGATGTAAAATAGAAAGAGACAGGCACTCCCTTTACAGGCGACGGAAAAGAATAACAGAGCGGCTAAAAGAGGTCAGTATATCTGAAATGCGTAGGGAGACACTGGTCAGAGAAATAGCAAGCATCGAACTTAAGCTAAAGGAATCTTATAGGAGTCAGGAATCGCGGGAAGAACTAAAAGCCATAAATGAAATCGAAAGAAACCCAAAGTATTTCTTCTCCTATGCCAAATCAAAGTCGAGAACAACGTCCAGTATTGGGCCCCTACTTAAACAAGATGGGTCCTACACAGATGACAGCAAGGAAATGAGTGAGCTACTCAAGTCCCAATATGACTCAGTTTTTAGCAAGCCGCTAACCAGACTGAGAGTCGAAGATCAAAATGAATTTTTTATGAGAGAGCCACAAAATTTGATTAACACAAGCCTATCCGATGTTATCCTGACGCCAAATGACTTCGAACAGGCGATAAATGACATGCCCATGCACTCTGCTCCAGGGCCAGACTCATGGAACTCCGTATTCATCAAGAACTGCAAGAAGCCCCTATCACGAGCCTTTTCCATCCTATGGAGAGGGAGCATGGATACGGGGGTCGTCCCACAGTTACTAAAAACAACAGACATAGCCCCACTCCACAAAGGGGGCAGTAAAGCAACAGCAAAGAACTACAGACCAATAGCACTAACATCCCATATCATAAAAATCTTTGAAAGGGTCCTAAGAAGCAAGATCACCACCCATCTAGAAACCCATCAGTTACACAACCCAGGGCAACATGGGTTTAGAACAGGTCGTTCCTGTCTGTCTCAACTATTGGATCACTACGACAAGGTCCTAAATGCACTAGAAGACAAAAAGAATGCAGATGTAATATATACAGACTTTGCAAAAGCCTTCGACAAGTGTGACCATGGCGTAATAGCGCACAAAATGCGTGCTAAAGGAATAACAGGAAAAGTCGGTCGATGGATCTATAATTTCCTCACTAACAGAACACAGAGAGTAGTCGTCAACAGAGTAAAGTCCGAGGCAGCTACGGTGAAAAGCTCTGTTCCACAAGGCACAGTACTCGCTCCCATCTTGTTCCTCATCCTCATATCCGACATAGACAAGGATGTCAGCCACAGCACCGTGTCTTCCTTTGCAGATGACACCCGAATCTGCATGACAGTGTCTTCCATTGCAGACACTGCAAGGCTCCAGGCGGACATCAACCAAATCTTTCAGTGGGCTGCAGAAAACAATATGAAGTTCAACGATGAGAAATTTCAATTACTCAGATATGGTAAACATGAGGAAATTAAATCTTCATCAGAGTACAAAACAAATTCTGGCCACAAAATAGAGCGAAACACCAACGTCAAAGACCTGGGAGTGATCATGTCGGAGGGATCTCACCTTCAAGGACCATAACATTGTATCAATCGCATCTGCTAGAAAAATGACAGGATGGATAATGAGAACCTTCAAAACTAGGGAGGCCAAGCCCATGATGACACTCTTCAGATCACTTGTTCTATCTAGGCTGGAATATTGCTGCACACTAACAGCACCTTTCAAGGCAGGTGAAATTGCTGACCTAGAAAATGTACAGAGAACCTTCACGGCGCGCATAACGGAGATAAAACACCTCAATTACTTGGAGCGCTTGAGGTTCCTAAACTTGTATTCCCTGGAACGCAGGCGGGAGAGATACATGATTATATACACCTGGAAAATCCTAGAGGGACTAGTACCGAACTTGCACACGAAAATCACTCACTACGAAAGCAAAAGACTTGGCAGACGATGCACCATCCCCCCAATGAAAAGCAGGGGTGTCACTAGCACGTTAAGAGACCATACAATAAGTGTCAGGGGCCCGAGACTGTTCAGCTGCCTCCCAGCATACATAAGGGGGATTACCAACAGACCCCTGGCAGTCTTCAAGCTGGCACTGGAGAAGCACCTAAAGTCGGTTCCTGACCAGCCGGGCTGTGGCTCATACGTTGGTTTGCGTGCAGCCAGCAGTAACAGCCTGGTTGATCAGGCTCTGATCCACCAGGAGGCCTGGTCACAGACCGGGCCGCGGGGGCGTTGACCCCCGGAACTCTCTCCAGGTAAACTCCAAGTCCAGGTAAGAACGCCTCTTCTGATCACCTTCAAAATATTGCGTACCAATTATAAATCAGGGAGCGGGTGTGGGATGAACCCATGACAGGTGAGTTCTAAAACTCACAGACTAGTGCGTAAACCACTCTCCCAGCTGGCTCTAATAAGAGCCAGCTGTGAGAGTGGTTTACTACTAGGCCAGCAGAGGTTATAAACACAAGCCTAATAGATCAAATGGTATTCAAGCTAAAGAAACGAGTGGATGATTCTTAATGTAACTCCCATCGCGAAAATGCCTGAATATTAATATTACTCATTATGAGAACAGATTAACATTAACATAACTCATCATGAAAATGGATCAGTATTTCTATTATTCATGAAAACGGATAGATATCAGCAGGGTGGGATTAAGGAATGGGCTTTAGAGGCTGCAACCCAGCTGGACGGCCTCCAGAGGCTGCAGCCCAGGGACCTCCGCCCAGTTGGAGGGCCTCCAGAGGCTGCAGCCCAGGGACCTCCGCCCAGTTGGAGGGCCTCCAGGGACTGCAGCCCAGGGACCTCCGCCCAGTTGGAGGGCCTCCAGGGGCTGCAGCCCAGGGACCTCCGCCCAGTTGGAGGGCCTCCAGGGACTGCAGCCCAGGGACCTCCGCCAGTTGGAGGGCCTCCAGGGACTGCAGCCCAGGGACCTCCGCCCAGTGGAGGGCCTCCAGGGGCTGCAGCCCAGGGACCTCCGCCCAGCTGGAGGGCCTCCAGGGGCTGCAGCCCAGGGACCTCCGCCCAGCTGGAGGGCCTCCAGGGGCTGCAGCCCAGGGACCTCCTCCAGCTGGAGGGCCTCCAGGGGCTGCAGCCCAGGGACCTCCGCCCAGCTGGAGGGCCTCCAGGGGCTGCAGCCCAGGGACCTTCTCCAGCTGGAGGGCCTCCAGGGACTGCAGCCAGGGACCTCCGCCCAGTTGGAGGGCCTCCAGGGGCTCAGCCCAGGGACCTCCGCCTCAGCTGGAGGGCCTCCAGGGGCTGCAGCCCAGGGACCTCCGCCCAGTTGGAGGGCCTCCAGGGGCTGCAGCCCAGGGACCTCCTCCAGCTGGAGGGCCTCCAGAGATTAAGTGAAAATGTTCACAGTTACTCTTGTAAGTTTATAACTGTAATATGTTATTACATCACGTATATGATGAACTGGACCAGTTTCATTCTTTGGTCTTATACAAAAACTTTACAATTTTTTTCTGGTTCAAGTGAACGTTGGTTAGTAATGCTTCGGTGCCTGAAAGTGTAAGTAAATCTACATTGGTAGTTAAAAAAGCATCAGATACTTAATGGTCTGCAAGGTCCGATGCCACAAAAGCCTTGTTTAAAAGGTACAGCTATTTTCAAGAAGCTTTGACGTTAATCCCAGATGTAAATCACAAGTGTGACACATGTTATGACGCAGACGTTCAGAAGTCCCGGCAGACTTCTGGGTTGTCATACTAGAGAGGTTCAATCAAGTCAGTAAGTCACTTCAAGAAACACTGGAGTTTCAATCAAATATTAAACTTCTTGGATCTCTACTGGATTTTTGATATCGCAGCGGGATCAGTTCAAAGTGTTTGAAAATAAAGCGAAAGATAAAGTGGAAAATACGGAATATTGTGACGAACAAAAATGAGAACATTGGAAAAGAAAACGAATTAATGATGATAAAGCTGAAGATGTTGCTTTGCCAGGAAGACAGAAGTGTAAGATGGAAACATAACTACCCATCATAGACAACTTATGCTCTGCTCTCTCTCATCACATTGAAGTAGTTTATAAAAATGTTCATTCAGTATTTGTTTCCTGGTCGAATTTCCAACAAGTATGATGAAGACATTTCAACAACAGCAGCAACGTTTCAGAAGATTTACTTAGATGATAACAAACCTGGATTTGCGCCAGAAACTCTTCACTTTAACAACTTTGTTGGGTAATTTGATGAATTCAAGTACAACCATAAAACACTGCGAGCTTCTGATATCTAGAACCTTGTAGTAAACAATAGATTAACTTGTTATTCCCTAATGTTGTTATAGCAATAGGGATTTACTTGTGTTTAATAACTAATACGACTGGAGAGAGAAGTTTCTCTAAGACGAAACATCTTAAAGAATGTACATAGAACGACAATGGCACAAAAAACGACTAAACAAACTAGCTCTCAGAGCAGGTGAAAACCCTCTCTCAACAACTTACATTTTTCTGATCAGAATATATATCACATGAAAATGGATTGATATTAGCGTAACTCGCATGAAAATGGATTGATATTAGCGTAACTCACATGAAAATGGATAGATATTAGCGTAACTCACATGAAAATGGATAGATATTAGCGTAACTCGCATGAAAATGGATAGATATTAGCGTAACTCACATGAAAACGGATAGATATCAATGTAACTCACATCATGAAAATGGGCTGATAAGTGCAAAGGGAGATGGTGAGAAAATTCAGGATAGGCTTGGTGAGTAGGCTGGCCCTCCTTTGAGCTTCTTGCCAGGATCTGAAGCTTGCTGATATTGTGCTTGAAGCTGCACTAGTGTCACTCTCACGCTGAAGTTTCTCCTTGTTAAGTGCTTCAACCCTGTAAAACAATACATAGCTTAACCTCATCTTTCTCTCTGATTGTAATCATAACTGTATTTTTTAAGGGTGGAGGGGTAAGCCAGCGGAAGGTCTCGATCAGATGACCAAAAGAATAATAACACACAATACCGTGGCTGGAACAGTGTCTAGTCAGTGGTTCAAGTTGGACCTAAACGTCGTTCATAAGATTCAGTCTCCTGGTGGTTTTTTG